GACATAGGTAGCAATTTCTTCTGTATGTTTATAAAATGTCTGAACTAGGTGGTRTTCTGAACTTACTCAGGGAGTCTGGAGCTCCTGAGAAAAGCATATACCACAGTTCCTCTTCAGTTGTCCACAGGTTGCACACCATTCAKCACACTGATACCCTGAATATTAAATAGATATTTCTATCTGGTTTTTACTGTCCACTCTAATTTAGGTGCTTTTTACCTATTCAGCCAAATCTCTTACTTCTCTTTGTATCCATTTTAGCCAAGCTGACTTATCAACTCAGTTAGGGTCTGTCAGCCCAGTAAGCAAAGCTAGTGGTGCTAAGTTGCCTTCTGTTCAAATATGAGTTTATTAGCACAAACAATCATCAAAAGAACATATTCARTACTTACAAAAAAGGTGATACAACTTCAATCAGCAAGTTTCAAACTTGACTGACAATCAGCAGGAAGTTTTTAAAATGTTGATTTTTTTATTCCAGTGCCCACTCACTAAAGATTCTAATTCCCTCTAAGGTGAGATCCAACAACCTGTGGTTTTGGAAAAAAGAAATCTCCAAGAAACTGTGATGATCAGCATATAGGACGTGCACTGACCTAGGTGCTGGGGGCCTCTAAGAAAGAAAATTCAGCATGACTGGTAGGAAGTTTCCCCAGCTCAGTGGAGAAGACTTTTAAGAACTGGACACGATAAACATCACATAGCAGTTTCGATTTATGTAATAACAGAAATCGAGAAAACAAAACACCTGGTTATTATTCAGGAAAATATTAGAGTTCTTAGCATTAAGGATAGATGGACTGATGGCACTCAGAGACAGGTTGAGTGTAGCCCACAACTGAGCCCAGGAATGGAGATGGCATGACTTACCAGACCCTCAAATTAGAGAGGTATGCTAAGGAAATTAACTTACTAAGAACAGAATGAGGAATAGTAAATGTTAGATAGGTAAGAAAAGTCTGAAATACAGTAAGGCCTGAATTCAGAGAGAAGATTTTGGATTTGGGGTTGGAAACCAGTAGTTCTTAAGTATTTTTGATCTGGGTTTTCTTAAATAGAACAAAAGGTACTATAGTTTACATACCCTGCTTAGTAGGGTAAATAATGTTAATTTCTGTAACAAATATATTTAAAAAATTTCAGCAACTTAATATTCAGAGAATCTTTCTTTCAGTCAAAGTCCAACTTGTTGTTCCTGCTCCAGGGCCTTCCACACACATATGGGGATCTAGTTGCTCCTATCTCCTGGCTCTGCCCTCCTTAAAGAACCCCTGCATTCAGTTGCTGCTGGGGCAGCAGTCTATACCTGTTAAAAGCCAAATAATAAATATTTGGGCTTCTCAGGCCATATGGTCTCTTATGCAACCATCCACTCTACCACGGTAGCACAAAAACAGCCACCCAAAGATGCAGGCGGCTGTGTACCAGCACAACTTTATTTACAAAAACAGGCAGCAAGCCAGACTTGGCCCACAAGCCTCAGCTGCCAGCCCTGGTCTGGACCTGTGGAGGACTGTGTAAGAGGCTTAGAAGTGATATTTATCTTTCCATTAGCTCTTTAATAAGGTAGAACTTAGCCACTCATCCCTACCTAAGAAAAGGGTCTAAGCTATGTCCCAGCTTAAAGAAAAAAAAAATTTGAAAACACCCAACCATTTCCACTTTTCAAATTATTTTTGATCATTTCTCAAAATCAGTGGTTACAAACAAATTATTTAAAGGGTATAAGAATCATACAAGCATATTTGTTTTTAGAAAATGATATTCTGCAGATGCAAAGAAGAGCTGCTTTACAAATTGTGGGACAACTATAACAAATTAGTTGATGAGTCAGTTGATAAATGGTAAAGGTAAAACTCGCTGATAAGTATGTCGTCAATCTACTTTTGTATCAATAAATAGAGTAGCAGCATTTTTGATACACAAACAACTCAATGCCAAATATAAGCTGATAAAACATTTTCCTGAAATTTATAAAAATTCCAACTATTCTCTCAATTACACTGCTGTAGTTCTGCAGATGCCCAGTGTTCCAGCCTCCAAACTTCTCAGTAGAAAGCTGACCTTGTGTCAACCCAGTTCCATTTTCTTCTGGGTACACAACTAAACTATTTCTTAACTGATTGCAGTGGCACTGGGACATGACTGAGCCCTGGCCAAGGGGATGTATGGGGTAGCAATGCAAACCACTACTAGGCCTGAAACACAAAAATGATCCACCTGTGATCCTCCCCTCCCTTTCCCTGCTGCAATGATCTTGGAGGGCTTGTGATAAATGGTAACACTACAAGAAGGAAGAAGCCTGAGAGACTATGTGGTGCTGAATGACTGCATTAAGAGAGCAGCCATGTTTTCCATCCCCACCTCCATGTACTGTTTTGTGACAGAACTGAGCAACTTTTACTGTGGTGAGCCAGTGATATCTGGAGTTGTTTATTATAGCTAGGGGAACTATTCCAAACACAGAAGCAAAAAAGTATGTTTTGTGATTTCCAATGTGATTCCTTCAGGCAGACTTCATTTGCATGAAAAAATAAAAACTCTAACTTCTTAAAAAAAAGTTCCTTAGAAATTTTAAATTGTTTGCATAAAGAAAATTCTCTAGTTTTAATCATAAGTATTATTCACTTAGACAGCTATTGCAGAGTTTCTCTGTTCCTGCAATCTCAGACGGACCAATCCCCTCAACAAAAACCAAGTGCAGCTTCACAGCTATATATTCCCCTTCAGCTTTGTTCAGTGTTCTCACAAAGACTAGTCAGAAGGGTCCAGGAGACTGTAAACTGATCTATAGTACTATCGGAAAAATAATGCACAACACGTGTCCTTGTGACTTGAGCCTATAGCCTCAAAAGTGACTTGGATATTAACTTGAGAAATTCAAACAGTCCCAAGTAACTGGGGGATGATACTGGGAGGATAAACAAGAATGCTGATGCTGTTATGTAAAGAACACACTATCTTAACAGTATCTGCCCAAATTCAACCCAAAACAAAGCTGCTTCCTAAAAACATGAACTGTAWTCCTTCTCTGGGTCAACTTACATTCAACTCTTCTTTTTTACACTATTAACTAGAGCTACCCCTTTATTTAAAYGTTTCACATTTACCACAAAGATGGATTATGACAGAAAATGAGAATCTGCCAGGAATTTATACACTCTGTCCTTTCTGTCCTTATATCTGCCACCTCCTAAATATGAAGAAAAAGGCCTTAAAATTTAAAAAACCTATTTTTATATACATGCAATCATTTTCTCCATACATCATGAAACAGCTCTAGTTTTAACAGGAATAGTAATAGTGAAGTAACCCAACCAAAGTCTTCATCTACCAATAGGCCACACGTACTTTTAAAGCTTGTGGCAATCCATGAGTGCAGCCCAAGTCCAGGGCAATTAAATATATATTTACTTTTATAATTATTTTTCAAATGCTAACATAAAATATTATTTTTCTATCATGTCCCATCTTCTTGCTTTTCATTAACTCTAAAATTACTGAAATTACTCCATCTCTAAGTTATCTCTTATCTTGCACAGTTGTTTTCAACAACATTCTGCAAAAGAAAGGTCAGTAAAAGTGGAGAAAAGCTAATATATGTTTATTTACCCCTGTAATGTAGGACTTAGTGAAAGACGTGAAGGATACTACATGAAATACCAATACAAAACGTTTTAGAATAGCACTTCAAAACTTTTCAAGAACACATTGACACCAATGATAAAAATTTATTTCTCTGAGGTATAGTCTATAAACAAAACTGAATGATGCTTCTAAAACCACAGCAAATACCCATTTATTGATAAAAGAGAATGAAAGAAATACGCATTTCCCTTCCAAAATTTAAATACATGGCTTTTGATGTGATGGAAGATGCACAAGGGAGGGGGAGAGCAGGGCCTCCAAGGGAGACTGTCACACTACCCTTGCTGCTTACAGTGGGACAAAGCAAAGAGCTGCGCATGAATAAAACGACTGACAACACAAAAACACAATACAGGTGGGGTATCCCTTACCCAAGATGCCTTTAAGCTTTTTGGATTTGGGAATATTTGCAGACTTTACAGGTTGAATATTCCCAATCGAAAAATCCAAACTCTTAATAAACTGTTCCAAAATCCAAAATTCCAAGAGTTCCATCTACTATAAMACCATTAATGCTGAAGTCCACATTTCTTAAGGAAGAGCATTTTAGATTTTAGATTTTCTGACTGGGATGCTCAACCTATATTACTCACCATTTAAGGGTTCCCTATTTGGGCTAGCTTTGTACTATGTACTTCAAGAGCTATTTATCCTCACTGAATCATTCACACCTACAAAATTCATTAATTGCATTTAAATATATACAGTTCTAAATTCTAAGGAACAAGAAAAAGTAGCAGTATATATAAAACTGAAAACTCATGAGTTTGAAATTCTAATCTTTATCATAATGATTATTCCTATGATTATAAATTTTCATAAAGATCTCTTACGTATTTACAGTATACATGCGGGTCACTGAATTCCAATGAACATTCACAAAACTATTCCTAWACAATCATTTAGTAAGGATATTTATTAAATCTATCCTGAAATCATCAGAATAGAAACATTAATATTTCAGTACTAATTCTTAAACAACAGACTATGTGCCGCTACTGGTTTACTAAACCTCTCTAGACAGCCCAGGACTTAATCCCTGGAAAATACCTAGGAATACATCTCTGGCTTGCACTCACACCCCTGGATTATTCACTGTCACCATGTCTCATCAAAAGGCATGCTGTTTCTCCAAAGTTTTGGTGAGTTTTGGCTTACATAAGTGAGAGCAGACTAGGGTAGGGAATAAAAATCTTTTATCCTTTCAATCCTTCCAAGATAAAAAGTTCAATTCCAAAGATGTATGCAAAATTACTTGGCTCTATAAGCAATTATAAAAAAGAAAAAATTTCCAAGCAAAATAAAAAGAATTTATTTTATAAATAGCACAACCTTCCCCATTCAAAACTTACCTTGAAGATGGCATTATATTTGAAGCCCTGAATTTTGTTGTAAACGGATTAGTTGAGTCATAATCAAAATAGTCCTGACGATTTTCATTACATGCATTAGGTGACTTCAAGTCACAAGGGCTATCAGATCCCCCATTGTTAAGTTTATCAGATCTTCTGCCATCTTTTTTCCCAGTCACTCTCTCAAATAGGCTAACTTTCTCCCTTTTCTCTCTTTTATTTTCTTTTCTTACTTCAATTGGTTTTGAAAATAAATTCATGCTGCTGTCCCATGATTCACTGCTTTCTTCAAATGGATTTTTCTTCCTTGGCAGTGTTGCGAATTTTTGGGGTAATGAAGCAGTCACATTTGTAAATGGGTCATTTTGTCTTCCAAAAGACGATTCACCTTCACCCACAATGCTGTCAGGTTGGTTCATTTTAGAAGTATCAAAGCTTAATGCTCTTCTGTGTGGAGACTTAAGACTTCCTACAAACAATTTTGTAGTTAGTACATAATCAGTGACACATTACATCATACTATTTGACACATTCTGCTGCTTTTAGAATGAGTGCAATTAGCTATTTAAAGGTATTAACCTTAAAAATAATCAAGGAAAACAATCTTAAAATGGAAAGGTATAACGTTCTGAAGTTAGGCTACTAACAATTAGTGTCTTATTAGACAATTAGTAATTTACTTAGCTCAGAAACCATCACACAAACAAACAATAATGTCAAAACTAGAGGACCCACTGGCATGATAATGCTAGAAATTCTCAAAGTTTGTTTTTGTTTTTTGGCTTTTTTTTCATCATTAGCATTAAATTGACTTTCTTATTTCTGAACATTAAAGTTTTTTTCCCAAGAACCTTATGATGAAATTGAATGTTCATTTATGCTTCAGGCTTTCAAAGCAGGAGAAACAACAGTAAAAAAAAAAAAAAAAAAAAGGAGCCAGGGCATGAAGAGAGACTGAAACTCATTTTATTATCACCTAATAAAATATATAAAAATGCAAACAAACTTTGCTTTCAATGAACTTATCAAGGGTACAGTAGACACTCAATAATTGATAGACGACTAAATCTATAAAATACCACCATGAAACGGCAATTTTAGTTTTTCAACTTTAGAAGTTACACTTAAAAWCTACAAGAGTAATTAACTACTGAGGAAAGACTACACTGGAAAGAAGGTACCACTTACCATTTTCTGGAACGGCTCCAAAGGACTCTATGTGGCGTCCAAGAAGATGTGTGTGACCTACAGCACCAGACTTCAGTTTCTCAGAAGACATGTGGGACCCCGTTAAATCAGACATTGAATGTGCAGAAGAGAGACGCTGAGGACCCAAAAGAAAAGGCTTTTTTGGTTTGGATTTCATCTGTATTTCACCACTTGAAAATTCAGTACTGGCATCAGGCATGGGAGTACTTGGAATGATTGCAGAAGACGTATCAGAAAATGTCCCATCATTTTTTCTACCTTTCATCTTATCTTTCAATTTTGCAAAAGGAGATCTTGTTTTGTCCTTCATTGATAAGTCAAACATACTTGCTGTCATATTGTTCCTCATAAATTGAATATTGACCTTTATCTCACCCCTGTTTTTGACTCTTTTTCCTTGTTTGGATTCTAACCTAAACCACCTTAAAAAGAAGAAAAAAAAATGTGTTGTAACATGTAATGAAGAAAGGCTATCAGACCTTGGCATATACACACAGTTCTTTAGGTAAAGCTACTGCACACATCAGGGCAATTGAGCACTAGATGAGAACCTGTTAGCCAGAGTGTTTATGGTTTTACTCATTGTTTCACTTTAAAAAACAGATCATTATTTCTGYAATGTGACATGTACTGAAGGAACAGGTCTTTGTCAAGTGTAAGGATTTTGGATAAGTCTTCTTTCACAATTTGAAAATTACTCATCATCAAAAATTCTTATCAATAATAGTTAATATATTTCCATATGAGATAAGTGTTACCAATGGACAGAGAACATTTTTTAATATTAAAATACACTGAGGCAGAGACTTTGAAAGAATTCACTAATTCAAATTATTTTTGAGTATCATAAAAATAATAAATACACTTTAATAACATTAATATTTTGCTCACCCCAAAATATTACTCATGTCAAAATATTATAAGAATTTTCTTAACACTTAAAACCACTACATACAGTTTGCTAATCATTAAACTGTGAATGATGTAATTTAGATTCATATAAAATGGATCAAAGTCTTTTCTTAAAGAAAATATACAAAAATGAGTGAAACACAGAAAGAGACAAATAAYAAATCCTATAAATTTTTTTGAAAAGTTGAAATATTTCCTATTAGAATCTATTTGCCTCACTTACTACTGCTACTGTATAGCATATTAGAGTATCGTGCTGCCCATTTTTAAATTATGTGTAAGAAGCAAAGTTTATTTTGGTGTTGTCTACAATATTTTTATCCATGAGAAATTCTCCAGTTGTGGTGTCACAACTGGTCATTTTACAGGGCAAACAGCCAGAAAACTGCAGAATCAAGTCTAGAAAAGAGCTCCTATGATGTTTTCACATTACTTAGCAATGAAGCATGATATCCATTCCTGCAGACAAGTTATTTAAATATAGCTTTAATCAAGTGTAACAAATTTTCTTAGCTACAAAAGAACTCTGATCTAATTTTACATTAGTTCTTTCTCTCATTGTTAGCAACAGGATGTACCAAGAGAAGGCTGAATCAAATGGGAGACTGGTTCACAGTCCTTTCCAGGAAAGACAGAAATGACACATGACATCTACACCAGCTACAAGCATGTGGGATTTCCATGTGTATAATGAGTCAAAGTAAATCTGAGGAGAAAATACACCAAAACCCAAAAAATGGAAAGTGGGGAAAACAGTCAAAATTCATAGAATTTTAGAAAGAAAATCAAATAAAATCATCTGTTTTAACATCCTTATTTTATAGGTGAGGGAATTGAGGCACAGAGAATGATAACAATTTCCCAACGTCAGAGCAAAGTCAAAAGAAAAAAAAATAAAGTTGATGAATAACATCTGGAGGAGAATAGAAGTTCTTCCTTATTTGATGGACCACATGTGTTAATAAGGTTAACCACATGGTGCCACATACTACAGGATGCTGCATTTACCAGGAGATGTGACAGCCCAAAAGGAGGCAATGCAGTTCTTTATTGCTAGAGTATAAGCTCTTTGAAGGCAGTTTGCCTTGCACTACATAAATATTCAATTTTTCATTTCTAGAATCACATTCTTAAAACCATCAATCCACCATTTTGGACCTAGATAACTTTAAAGAATAAAGCAATCAGTGTCTGAATACAACTATAAATACAGTACATTTTCTATCCCCCCACAAAGAAGAAAAATAATCTGCAAAGAACTTCGACAAATATACTAGTTTAAAAAGTGGCAATGACAAGAAGCTTTAGTGGCTTTGTTTTGAAACTGACCTAAAGGGAAAGGCTTCAAGACTCACTCCTGAGACGTTTGTTTCCCCATCAGATAAAAAGATAAAATGAAGACACAGCATTTGAGGTTCACTGAATTAATGCTGTTTTTTTTCGTTCTTTTTTTTTTTTTTTTAACCTCTAGAGTACTGGGTTTAAACTGTATATGGGCTCTGTTCAATTTTTTAGTGGGCACAGGTCCATGTTCAAAAACTACCACACATGTGGGAACTATTCCCAAGCAATTGGTGCTGTGTGGTCAGAAATGGGACAAGATTGGCAATAAGAGTGCCAGAGGCCAGGACGCAGGTGCACTGCAGAGAYCCATGCTAAAGTCCTAAAATCTATGTATGCTAGAATCATACCTAACTCTAGGGACTCAAATTGTTATTACTTTTTACCAGCATTTTTTTAAAAAATCAACATCACCTTCTATTGTAAAAAATCAATGGATATTACATAATAGCTTCAACGATTTTACCATTCTATTATTAAACATTGTATTATATCTTAAATCTCATGCCAGAACCAACCCAGACATCCATTAAAGGTGGAAATACACAAGTACTCTTTACACTGTTAGGATTTGGGCTTGGGCCCTTTTCCCTTCTCCTTAAAAAAAAAATATATATATATATATTTTCAAGACATGAAAAAAATACATAAAATAATAGTCTTAACCATCATGTTTCAACACAACTAGAAGACATGATGTAAATACTTGTCTTCAGTGTCAAAAAGTAAAAAGCGTCACACCCATCAGTTTCATGGGACTTCTAAATCAGCTGGTAGTCTTCATCACTCATACCAGTTTTCCAAAAAGCATTTGGGAATATGCTGACAAGGTTTAGCAATGTGCAGAATATTAAATATCTTTCTTGCAATACACCGGTGGCTGAAATCTGTCTCTTACTTTGCCACATGTACAGCTGTGCTGGAAAAGGAAGCTATTAAATATATTAAAAATCTAGAATTATTACCAATAAACATACCTCATCAAATACGTGGTCCCCATTTAGCCACAAAGAAAATGTTAAGGGTTTCATAACATATGAAAATTGCTTTGAATGCAATAACATCACAAGCTCTGTTGATAATATTTCAAAGCATTTTCCCCAAAAAAGTTCTAATCAATTTTATATAGACACTACATTATTAGGGCATTGCTCATAGCCAAATTTATTGTAAATGTGACACTGCCAAAGAAAGAAATAAAAGAAGAAGAAACTTTAAAAGGCTATTTCATCCTTAGAACTTTGGGTTCACACTTGGGCCTACTTTAACTTGAAAAATTTATGTTCCAGAGGCCTACAGTACATTATTCCTCAATAAAAGTACTACTTAAGTACAGTAAGAAATCTGAAGTTACAATATACTTAAAAGTTTACATTCAAAACATTTTACACAGTTCATACAGAGTCACCCCAAATTGGCAATTTGAAACAAATTCTTTGGTAATTACTCACTTCTTACTTTAAATTTGATGAGGAACCCTTTGGAGGAAACTGAATACAACTTTTTAATAAAAAAGTATCAAATAGTTTTCTTTTAAAAATCATTGATAAATATTTAACTTTACACTTTGTAAAAACTTTTTCTCCCTTTTAAAATATTCTCATCTCTTCAATTAGATTAAATATTTACCATTTTTCTTCTTGCATTCCTAGTATTTTTTAACTCTACTTTTTTACTCAAAGTGTATTAAATCTTAGAAAAAGAACAGATTCAAAATAAAACACTCTGATCTAGAGAAGTGCAAGACAGATATGTTCAGAAAAAATAAGGAGTAGTTGTTTTAAAATATAGTTTCAAACATAAAAAATTTAACATGAACTTAACAATATCATTATGAAAAAAAGTTTCCTCAAAGGGTAAATAAATTAGTTACAACTGAAAGAAACACAAGGGCTGTTTTGGAAGTCGTCTTACAAATTCCACCCAATTTTCTCCCATTAATTCCACTGGTTTTAATTTTCTCTCAGACTAGAAATATTTTAAGAATGGGGTATATATATTTATTTGTTTAAAAAGCATACTATTTTTTCAATTTTAGATATAATTGCTTGTCCTAATTTGTATTGTAATTTTTAAATTGAAATATATCTAAGTCAAGCATGAAAGTCACACTAAAAAGGCCATGTTTTATTGAAGAAGTCATTAAATCACTAAATCACAAGAATTTAATCACTGTCTGTAATCTTATAGCTGTTAATATGATCTAAACACACTAGTTTTGCAGAACTAATTCTGAAGTAATATAATAACAACTCTACTATAATGCAAATTCAGAGGAAAACATTAGTGGGTGCAGGATTGAGGTTTGTGTGCACTTTTAAAACTGTGTTTTATCTTTTAACAGCTTCATACCCTATCAAGATGTAATGACYCTAAAAAGCGGCTGGGCTACAATAATAGACAACTGTGTTTATAATGCTCAAATTAAATACTGAGTTTTAAATTTGATAATTCATCTTTCCACAGCCACAGAGTTCAACATACATACAAACATTACATTGGCAGATTTAATTTTCTGATTTTCCATTTCATGAAAAGTTGTAATGTTTTTTAAAAATCATAAATTACACCTATATCAGTTTTAGTTGGTCAACAATGAGATCCAAGCTTCTTATAAAAAGTAAAATAATGTTAATTTTCTCAAGTCATATTAACATTCTTAAAATCCAATCAAAATATTCAATAATAGATATTTACCTCTAACAGAGAGAATGGGTCATTAATCACTCCATTAAGGACTATTTTTACTTCACAGTCATGCAAATAGCGTGCTTAAAACTGGCCATATTTCAATCCAAAGTTAATCCCCCCCCATTCAAGTAATTTTCAGGATCAGAAAATTCATAAATAAGTGCCCCCAAATTCAAATAAATTACAAAACTTACTCTGTTTTCCTTCTTTGTTTGTCCTCAAAGATGTCATTGAGATTGATTGCCACCTGCCCTAAAAATTTATCCAGACCCACCAGGGACCTGTGCATAACTATGAGGAAAAGAATGTATTTCTCTGGATTCCCCTGCATTAGCAACCCAGGCAGCTCAAAGGAGGCCTCTTCCTTCCACACTGGCTCAAGGGTTTTTTCAGCTACAGAGGTGGAGTACTTTTCCTTGCCCAGCTGAATTATAGTGTATGTGTCATTGGTGCCACTTTTGCCTTTTGGCTTCAGATCTTTGGCTTGGAGCACTGTGACCTGCACGTGGGTTGGAAACCACTTTTGGGCTTGCTCGGACAGCATCATTCTGCCCTTTTTCTCTGCACCGGGTTCTGGAGCGCAGGGAGTGCCCCTCCTGTAGGGAGAGCCTAATTCCGTAATCACTGCATCCTAAGGACACTCGACCCGGCCGGGCCGGCTCGGGCTGCCCAGCTACCCTAGGGCAGATGTCAGAGCGCCTCGCGGGGGAAGCCCGGGGGCACGGCTTCTCTGAGGGTCCCTTTCCTCTGGAGAAGCACAGGGGCCCACATCACCTGGCCGCGCCGTCCAGGCCTCCGCGCGGACCMGCGCGACTCGCGTAGCCACCGTCCCCCGGTGCCCGCCCGGGGACGGCCCTGGGCGGCGGCGGCTCCGGGGCCTGCGGGCAGGTGAGGCCTGGCCGCTCGGGGGCTGCGGAGGTGGGAGGCGCGCCCGGCCTCCCGCCTGCCTCCTGCGGCCAGGCCGCCTCCGCCTCCCCACGCCTCCCGCCCGCCCCGCTCGCCCCGCTCGCCCGCCGGCCGGCCCGGCTCCTCCTCCCAACCCCGGTAATACGAACCGCCGGCGGCTCGCGCGGCCTCGCTCCCTCTCGCAAACCTCTCCCTCCTCCTCCCCCTCGCCTGGGCTCCTCCTCCCGGACGGGGGCGGGTCGCCCGAGGGCGGAGTRGGACGGGGCGGGGGATGCGGACGCCCCGGCGCCGGCGGGGCGCGGGGCGGGCCGCGAGCTGCAGGGCTGCGGGCGCGGGGCTCGGTCTGGCCGGGCCAGCGGCTCCTAGCACCGGGCGGGCGGCGGCGGCGGCACTTCCGGGTTCGCCTTCTCCATGTTGATCCTGGGAACGCGAGGGGCGGGGCCGGGCGGGGCCGCGGGGTCAGGGGTCGGCGCCTCCCTGGTTGCCGTGGAGACGGGGGCGCGCGGCACGGGATGCGGTGCCTGAGCGCTCCCGCTGGGTTCTCGGTGCTGCTGGGGCCTGGCCAGTGCTGGTGTTTGCATGGTATGGACCACAAAGGCCGACAGAAGGGTCCTGGAGAGAGCTCCAGGATAGGAACCACTCCTGAGAGGAAATCACCAGGCCCTGGGGACCGCCCGAGCTGGGGAGAGACCTAGTTTCAGTCTTTGAGGGCGGGGAAATCTGCCCTCGCTGACACAGCTGGAGTTCCCTAGTAGATGGAATRGGTCCTCTAAATGTCGGAAACAGAATTTCTCCAACCCCTTATCCATCCTTTTTGAAAAGAGGAGATCCCATCAATTTAATAAAATGGACATACTCCACCCAGTCTTTGGGGGAAAGGAAGCAAACAGAAGATGTCAAAATTAACACAGACATTAATTAAGACCTTAGGAGGCACTGAACTGGCATCAGAAGACCTGATAGTGTTCTGACCTTTACCACGATCAATCTATGTGACTTTGGCTGAGTCACTTCCCCTCCCTGAACCTAGGTTTTCACTTAAGTAGAACAGGTCTCCATAGTGTCTCAAACCCCATCATGACTGTTGGGACCAGCCTAGAAAGCACCTACCCCTGTACGCTAACCATCAACTGCACTACCTGGATTATGTGGAGGCCACGACCCAATTTGGGAAGAAGAGGCTGGAAGAAGTATACTGGAAAAAGTATAGGTGAACTTTTCCTAATACAATGGCACATAGTTTCAAGGCTCATTTGCTCTTCTGGTTCTCAATTAAAAAAAAAAAAAAAAAAAAAAACTCTTATGTCCTGCCTTTATTTCTATTCATGTCTTTCCAAGGAATTCTTGGAAGTTTTTTAGACTACATTGTATATCATGGAAGCCTTCATAAAGCTTAGCATGCAGTGTGTGTGCCAATTTATTGTATAACTTAGTGCCTTTTCTCCCATTATAGGACTAATTTTGAGAGTAAAATAATATGATAGATGTAAATGCACTTTTTTCAACTTAAAATGGCCCCCAAATGGGCAAGGTATCGTGTTTATTGTTTTCAGGCTAAATTTTAAACTTCTCCAATCGAGGCAGAATTTTCCATCCCTGGGAGARATCGAATGAAAAGGCCATGTGTGGAAAGCAGAACAGAATTATCACACTGCGCATAGCATCTGGATCCCAGAGTGGGCAGTTGTCAACTTTAAAGAAAAATATTCTTAGGGATTTTTAAAGAGTACATTGGAACCATCAGTGGTGGAATTTCACCAGGATCTCTAGGGAGAACTAATTTGACACCTGAAACTTACAAAAGCAAAATAAGCATCATGAAATCCAATTTAATTAAGTTTAGAAGTTTTATAAATTGCATTTTTAAAGGCTTCAAGTCTCTATTAAATGTTGTAATTAAATAAACAATAGATGATTAATTATAATAGTGAATGTGTGTTTCTAAAGAGCTTAAATTGTTTGGTAAGCTTTATTAATGATTATAAACTTGTTTACAAGTATCATTTCACTCATCTCTGAAATATGGCCATCTCTGGGGTAGAAGCTGGCAGCTGTAGTTCGCAGCAACGCAATAACAGACTCCAACACAATTCAGAGAATACTCTAAAGGCAAGAGCTAACCAAATGGAATTGCTAACCTTTCTTTCTGTAGCACCTAAATTTCTTTTTGAGTTTCCTAAAAGTTGAATAGAGCCAAGATCATTCAGTTTCACTGCTGGCAAGATTAGACATTATGACTTAATATTTCTAAGGCAGAACAAGAGAATAGCATATTTTTGCCCATGGGGAAAGCAAATAAACAAATGAGTTAAGTAGAATCTTGAATTATGTTATAAAAGGGAAGAAATTTCCTAGTGTTTCTCTCATTTTATTATATTAAGAAAATAAAAACTTGTCAGTTGGGTCAAGTATATGGTTGACTCATAATGAAAAATAATGTCAATTACATAAGATCTGGAATCAAAGTGGTTCTGCCAAAATATTTTACTAAGATAGACATGGACAGTAACTTCAAAATGATACAAAGGATTGCATGCATAAGGACAACATATCAGAWTTGAAAAGAGCCACATTTTTTTTTTGTTATCCTATCACTAATGATATGTCCGGAAATGTTTGGTACAATTCCAAAATCAAGGGCTTGGGAAAATAACATTTTATGGGAGGAAAATGCTGAAAATTCTAATTTTAAACTGTTACAATTCTTGCTGCAATGAATAAGAATGATTTTACCAGAAAGTTAAAATAGTCAACATTATTCCCTAGGAGTGGAGGATTTTACAGATGAAAACATTTATTAAGTGCTGCACCTTTCAGTGACGTCCCGGAAGGGAACTTACTCCAAGCATTGCAGAAGATATTCCCTTTGGACATTAGCATCTCTAAAATCAGGTCTTGCAAATCTATTGTAGGACAATTATGATGCTCTCAACATTTAAATAGCCCACTGAGTCAAGAGTGCTAATGCTTTTATACACATTATGTAATGGGTATTAATTCTTTTCCAGATGGAGATGTAAAAACATCAGCAAGAAGCTTTCCCAAGGTATCATTAAAGCCTTCAGCCTTCAGGTACATACTCACGCTTCAAATACATGTACAACTGAGAAGTATATAAAATTCATAGGGGCTGGAGATGTGGCTCAAGCGGTAGCCAGCTYGCCTGGCATGCGCGGGGCGCTGGGTTCGATCCTCAATACCACATAAAAATAAAATAAAGATGTTGTGTCCACCGAAAACTAAAATAAATAAATATTTTAAAAAATTCTCTCTCTCAAAAAAAAAAATTCATATATGTATACACCGCAGAGTTACACTGGAGGCAGATCAACATCCATGGAACTAGTCACAAACTAAAAAAGTATTGGACAAAATGATCTGAAGTTACAATGGCAATGAACTAGAGTTGGGAAATTTTGGTAATTGTTTTGCTTTGTTTTCATCACTGGGCTGATGAATGTGTCTTCGGGGATTGGGCAGTGTATGCATGCAGTCTGTGATGCATGAGAAGCAACATGGTATGCGRTGTACAGAGCTCGAGTCAGCAGCCTGGATCTTAATCCCAGGTCTGCCTATTACTAGCTACATCGTATCTTTGGGGAAGTAATTTTTCTTCTCTGGGCCATCTGTAAAACAAGTCTGTAATAGCAGCTATCAAAGCATCCTCTAACATTTAATAATCCTATGTAGTACATCCACAGCACAAAGAAGCAAATTGCCTTATAATTACCTAATTGAATTTGGAAAATAAACTAAAGTAGATTTCCTTTTTATGTAACTTATTAATGAAGGATCCTCTAATTCAGGAAGAAAAAAAATATTCTTCAAGATGTCCTAACAGTTCTCTCTACCAAATGAAAGTAATTAATGATCAYAGAGGAAATAAATATAACTTTTATTAATAGGCCCTGCATGAGGAAATTGACACCAACAGCTCAAGATTTGGAAGAAATTACATGTAAGTGCTAGTCTTTTGAAAAGCCTTAAACTTTTTACTTGTAGCCCTAAAGATAACCTCTATTCATATTATTTGTAGCTTCTTAAAACTGTGAAAACATGCTGAGGAGAGTAAAAATTTAGGGAGTAGAATATATATGTGTACATAAGAATGTTTTGTGTGGATGTCTGTATTCTTTTTTTCATGGTATACTATTATGTTATACAATTTTGTCACCTCAAAAAATCAATGCACATTGATGCATACAACATAAATTGATGAGATGACTAAGCCCCATTTGATCTTTTGTCCTTCCAAAGGACAGTTGTTTCCAATTTTTCAACTATCATAAGCAATGCAGTATAAACATGTAACTTATGTCTCCTGTGTACACATGCAGGGATTTGGGGGTAGCATTGGTAATTATACCTTTTTATGACAGCTGGCATTGTAATCATGGGAAATTTGTGGGTAATAGGATGGAAAACCCATGGACTTGTGCAATAGACCTGAGTTCTAATTTCAGTTCTGCCAACTGAAGAGCTATAGCCCTGGCAAGCCTTGATCTGTCTATTCCTCAGTAAGCCCTTCCAACTTCAGAATTTTCAAAGTCCTTTTCTTATATTTACTGAGAAGCAGAGATGATTGTTCTTGAGATTAAAATTTTTGAGAATACTTAGATATTTGTCTCCAAATTTTAATTGTGTTACCATCATGAGTCTTTCTAAAATCTTCCAGAATATTAGTACTTCCATAAATTTAGGAGAATCTTGTTGCTGAAAGAAATGATTATTAAAGTTTTAGAATCTCATCAACTTTATACTTTGTGAACATTGGTTAATTAATTAATTAATTTTTAGAAAAGATCCCTCTTAGTTGCTGAGGGTCCCACTAAGTTGCTGAGGCTGGCCTTGAACTTGTAATCCTCCTGCTTTAACATCCTGGGTCACTGGGATTATAGGTTGATGCCACCACGCCCAGCTCCTGTTAATTTTTTATATATAGTTAAAATCCAAAATAGGATTTAAAAAAATA